AGTATTTTCTGAATCGAGTGGTAAGCTCGATAGTTATAACCCACGAAGTGTAGCTATAAGGGTGACAATATCGAAGATATCTGTGGAACTTGACAATCGACAAACTTAACTACCCTTGTGCTCGTAAAAGGCGTAATAAGTGTAAAAACTCGATAAAAGTCTCGATAGGAACATTCCTCGCGTATACTTCTGCATTTTCGTGTTCTGTGTTCTTGTAAATAAGCGTAGTAAATATTGTTATTTTTTTTTAATATTTCTCATATTAGCTGCCAAGCAATTTAACTCTATAATATCAATACTTTTCCAAGATTTTAACAATTAATAATAGATTGCTATAGTATCGAGCTTGTCGTTCTGTTCGTTATTTTAAAGAGCGGTTATTTAAGGGGGCCATTCTACTTTGTAGGCAAGACAAAAACATGTTTCTTTATGATTTTTTTTTTGTGTGCTATTGAAGAGCGATTAATTCCAGGTTTTGTGGATATATTTATTATATATTTAATTATATTTATGAATTTTTGCAACGCATAATATCTGCTGATTACGCAGTTTTTGTTGATCAACGAACAACAGTTTTTACGAACGGCGTCCGGCTGCGTTGGTAATATTTTGCGAACAAGTTATCCGAAATCCAAAAACCAAAGATATTCTTAATATAAATTAGTTTAGTTATCGCATGAACTAGGATCTTTAAAAAAAAAACGAAAAATGGCACAATGGCAGTTTTACGAAAAGATACTGAATATCCTCATATATTCGGTTACTTTTTTGTTAATAAAAGAAAAAGTATTGCATATATCGCAATTATCCTAGTTCATGCGATAGAGAGACCAGTTTTAAAGATACTGTTGCGGCTCGCGGTATCCGTTGAGTAAACGATCGGCACTCAACGTCGGGCTCGCGTCTTTCCGAAATAATTTACTTATTCCGAATGGAGGAGTTAGAGAATGATTGACTTAAGAGTTTGATTATGTACAAGGTTTACTGATGGTTCAAGTTATTTTTGGTTTTACAATGATGATGGTCGAAGATGTGTTCGTAGGTGATGTTGCAGAACCAAGTCCCCGTTTTTCTCGTCGCTTGGCCTTTTGAAGACTCCAATGTTGTCTCCTCCCTTCCAAATCGCCCTTACGCGATGCCCTTGGAAGGGGGTGCGTGTCGTGTGGGAGTGTTGACTTCGTTGGTAGCGTTCCTGCTTTCCTGGTCGTCGTCGTCGTCGTCGTTAGGGAAAGAGTGGCAAGTTTATGCAGAGGGCTGGGCTGGCCTGCAGATGCCGGATTTTTGGCCAGCACGCTGCCGACGGACCCAGCCCCTGTCATAAACACCACTTGGCCGTGCCTTTGTTTAGGCCTGCTGCGCAATGTAACAATGCCTTATCCTTGAGGAGTTTGCTAGTTTCGAGTTTTGGAGATTTATGCCAGGGCTAAGTACTGGCACGCACGTGTGATTCTCGAGTGACTAACGTCGATGTTCTTCCCTGGCATAAATCTCGCTTTGTTGCGTTTTTTTCTCTGTTCGGGGTTTTTTTTTTGCTGAGCGCGGTACTGGAAGCGGCGTGTCCGCTTCCGCGCTCAACAGATACTGTATAAATTTGATGTTGATATCTTGAATAGTTTTCATGTTATCGTCTACGCAGTGTCGAAAAATGTAATTTCGAGAAAAACAGCTTTAAAGTTTTACGTCCAGTTATTATACCTGCGTGTGGTACATTTCAGCAGGCTATAACTTCGTTAGTTTTCCGAATTTCAATTTAATATTTGGTAGATATATTTTCGAGGCTACATACTAAAAGAAAACGCAAAAAAAAATTGATTTTTTTAATCCCACAAAGTGGAAAGGCCCCTTAAGAGGATGCTCTTTATATCGAGCACGCTTTGGAATATAATTGAAAACGAGTTTCGACTTACGCTTATTAAGGAATCGTTCTATTTCGAAAGTACACGCTGACGTACCGAGCTTTTTCTTGGAACGATTGTGCTTATGGCAGCATTGAATTCGCTACCTAAAGCTTCGCTGGAACGTTATAACTGAATTGTTCGAGGAGGATTTTCCCCGTTATTCTCTGAGCAAGCAGCTGAAAACACGCGGATAAACATGAACATAACTCTGCAGGATAATTCAATTGTTGTTACGCTCTAAGTTGAAAACGGTGATTAAATTTAATGTTCGATGCCGATATTCGATATTTAGCGAACGATTTATCAAACTTTCACTTTGTAGCAGATTTCATGAGACAAGGATCACTAATGGATATTGTATACAATTTGTTTTAGAAAATTATTCATACAATATTAAGGTGCAATGTTAAAAAGATGATAAAGATATTTGCATGGTACTTATAATACGACTGCACAACGTTCGAATACCTTTAATAAAACATGCGTTTCAGCAAAAACTGGAAATATCTCATGAAATATTAATATTTTTAACATTGGACCCCAATACTTTCGAGCCTCGTGCCTGGGAGATTTGTGTAAATAATATACATAGATTCTATTCAGAAAGAAAGACCTGAGAGGAAATGTTCTTACAATGAAAGCCATACATGGAGTCGATAAGAGTCATTATCTGATCTACGGTTAAAAAAAGATGAGAAAGCTGTTCATTTCGAGTCTCACTCCCTAGGTGTGAAACATCTAGAAACATGCTCGTAATCCTCGGATTAGGGGATTGTGGACATAAGACTCGGTACTCGAAGCTCATTACACAGAATTACACTCAATGTACGATAATTACCTGTTATAGGAATATCACGAAGGGTTAATCCGCGTAAAAAGGAACATTCGATTCTATAAAAAAAATTACATTTGAATCTTTTGGGTGTATTTTTAATTTCAACTTTTTCTTTACAGCTTCTTTTTCTATTCCTAAATCTTAGGAATATAACTAAAAATAACTGTAAAAGTTATGATTTGATCTCATGCGAGTACGCACCATTCGTGATTCCTTTACTTATTGCTTTTCTTGGACGCGAGAGTAGATAAGATTATTTGTTCAAAGCGCGTACAAATTAGAACCAAAGTTTAGGAGATGAAACCCAATTCTTGGGAAAGATGGGTCGACCTTCTAATTACGACTTATGGCACGGCTTAGCGCTTAAACTGCCAACTGGTGTTCCACCTACGCGCGGATATACCATAATACCATTTCGCTTGTTTGTGGTTTGCGTCTTGACGCTAAGCTTGGACATTGTTGCGACTCACGTTCGAAACTAATCGCTGGCTTCACTTTTCCCGTTACGGTGGTATCCTTGCAATTGGTACTACTCTATGGACTCGTGAGTTGCTTAAAAAATTGCTGAAGAGCCCATTGGAAAGTATAGGACCTCCCATAATAACAAAGAAGTATCCCCATTACTTTCAATAAACGTCTAATTTGAAAGAAAGATAACTAGACGAAACCAGAACATGACAAAAACATTCCAATAAACTTATAATGGTAGCACACAAAGGAACTCGTTAGCTTGTTAGTTAACTTTTACATATTTAATAATAATTATTAGTTAAAAATAGTTAATATACATGGATTTGGATTATTCTGTTGTTTACACAGCGTGTCTGTTACATGACAAATGATGCAAAGTTATCTTTCCGAACAATACCGAACAAAATTTAGCATAAATTGTTTGTAAATGCCACGGGTCACATAAATCATTGTCAAGGATCAAATGTGTCCCGCTGGGCCGTGGTTGGCCATATGTGATGTAGAGGAATAAAAATCTGTCTCTCCCTCTCCGGTCATTATTCTCTTTCTTCTGACGTGTCATAAAATAAAATTTTTGTTTTCCTGACTACTAATCACTTCTTACCCTTTGTACTCTCTACACAAAGAAAAACTCGAGCAGAACACCCTACATACATATTTTTATTTTCCTGTGTAGCTAATTTTTGAATATTCCATTATTATTCATTAATGTTAAATAACATTGGTTCAAGGAGGATGGCAGTGGAAGATTGATTGCAAGAATAAAATCATAACTTAAATTAATTAACTTTTAAGAATAGGATTTTCACATTTTAAAAATTTCGAAACTTCTTGCAGCTATTTTGTTAGCTTTTCTTCATCGTCCTTAAGCTCTTCTAGATCTACCACTAGCTATACATATATGCAGCTCTGTAATACACCGAAATATCTCTCTTGGGTTACAATGTACAGAGAACGTATAGAACGCTAGATCTACTCGGATCTACTCAAAGAACGGGAAGAATATCATTTCTTTTCTTCGTGTTCTTTTTCTTCGGAGATACAAAATCAGTAATGGTTGCCTTTCATACAACCATATTCTTTTATACTTTGCATATTGCGGTCGACATGATATAACAATAAACGTTCAATCGTATGTTATTTAAAATAATAAATCCATAAAGTTAGAATCGAATACTTAAATTAAGTCTTAAAGTCTGTTGAGAGAAAGGCAGAAGTTTGCCAGGGAAATATTTCACAAGTTTATCTGTGACTGCTTTGTCATTTCGTAGCGGACGCAATGCCGATGGGTATAAACGAAAATTGCGTAACGTTAATTAATTGAGATCATTTATATAATTGCTGCGAGGGGTGTGTGCTCAGAGATGGAAAATACGTCTATTATATAACTTTTACTCCCTTTTATGAAGTGTAATATATCTTAATTAAAATAAATTGAAGCAATATATTGTCAATTTCAATCTTGTAGTTCAATAATATTTTATTCTATTATACTTTATAATTAACAGTCGAAATTGTTCATTGTTAAATCTGTAATAAGTTCTTCGTGAAACTTCTCTTTGATTTCTCTAAAACACCTCTGAAATATTATCCAAGAATTTTTCTAGAATACAGTTGTAAAAATACCTTGCATGGAAGGTTAAACAATTCGCGATGCATTGGAATTTAATATATAATTGTAACCGGATGAATATTATAAAGCTACTAATTATGTACGCGATACAATTATAATTTATAGATAATTAATGAATGTTTCCGGGAAAACCTGTGGATTCATTAGTGAAAATGCAACGTACCCTCCGTTTGCTTCGTATACTCTCCAATTGGCCAGCTGTGTTTTCACCGATGCTCTGCGAACCCCATAGCTCCAAACCGATTCTGGCATACGTGAACGTCATCGAACCAACCGGCAAGAAGTATGTGAGTATCATAAAAATCACGTTATACCTGTGAACATAGAAGGTCGAAATTAATAAAGGTACAATCAAGAAACATTATATTCAATTGCCAATAATTGAAACAAAAATACATACATTATTGTATATTGATTTTTTAATTGTACCGATTTACTTTTGACTTTTTAAAAATGTTTTTGGACGTATATCTCGACGAAAGTTTCGAAATTATTTTTATATTCGTCAATATATAATTTATGTTTTGCCACTAAATGCACGAAATACGGTTAAATCGAGGAAGCTTGTCGTTTACATGCATTTTAACGAAGAATTGACACGATTGCTTGTAAATCGTCTGAATGTCCAACTAACGAACCCAGAAAAGGTTTTTGAAAAGACAGTCTATTCGAGCCATGACTGTAAAATGGATGCAATTTGAGACGAGGAATATCTAGCAATGTAAATGAAAGCAGAGAAGTGAGCAAGACTATAGGCATATTACATCCGCTGCTCTGTTAAATGCCATACATAATTCTGTTCGTTAATCGTAACAACGAAGACACGTGAATCGAATTCGTGTCTCGAAATTAATGGTAATTTCAATTTCGAGTAATATTTCAATATTGAATTAAATTTTATATCGAATACTTGGCGCAAACGAGATTTGAATTCTTAATTCATGGCTTGGCGTTACTCCCGGGAAATAAATCAATTTCACCGCGGTGAAGAACACATGATTACACGTTAATCAAATTTTTGCGTAATTTTACATATAAGTTCGATATCGTAAAAATCTGTGCCTTAATTTCTTTGGAAATTGATCGAATGATTTTAAGGAATACATTTTTATCTTTAAATGTAAACTAACGACAAGATTGTCCTCCTTAAAATAGAGTAAATTTTATTTTGTTTCGATAACCAGCAGCTTGAGAGGCAATCGCGTGAAAAGATTAAAATGTTTTAATACTAATTTTGGAGATAAATACTTTGAAATTTAGTCTGTTATTTGAATCCAAGTTAAAAATTGAGGATAAATTTCCGACAAGTTGAAGGATTGTACTGCGTACAATTATAGTCTAAGTACACAAGAGAATGTGCAAAATGAGAAGACAGTTTCCGCCGTGAAACGATTTAGGGTTGCTTAAAGGATTTCGGTTTGGAGGAATTTTGTGACGAAGCTAAAAGGATGCTTACAGCTTTGTGTGATGGCTCAATGAGAGTCTAAAGCACACTTTTATCAGTTCCGCCCTGTAATTAAAGGTAACGGCGCAGAACGCCAATAAGGTTTCATCATTGCAGAGTATTCGGTTGGAACCATTAAATCGAGAAATTGCAGATCGTTTCATTACCTTTGAGAGATAGTAGGCGAGGCTTCATTAAAAGATAATTTCTGCTTATTGTGTTCCCGTTTAATAGTTTCAATTCTCTTCCATTTCGTCCTTATATAAGACAATGATCTAATAATTACGATTTGAAATATTTTATTCGTACCTTTAAGACGGATTATAGTAGAAAACATGATCAACCACGAAGAACAAACTTAAACCTTTCAACCGAAACAGAAAATTGTTTATAATTTCGAGAGCATTCATTTTTCAACTCATGTTTATTAGAACTTTTCGTCCTAATATGCTTAACGCGTTCTATAAAGTAAATATATGCAACTAAAACGGAAATATTGTTTTTTACAAATTACGGAACGATGAGCAACGTATCAAAAATGGAATGTCAGGTAGAACAATGGATCTATTTATGAACTGTCGAATCCATTTGCCTTTGGCATATATTCTCGTAGTATGCAAATTTGTACACCAAATCCAACAATGGTGTGTCAGTTAAGAATGAAACGTGTATAACGTGAATGTTCACGATCATGTTGGTTCCAAGTTCTTTGTAATTTTACTGCCATGAAATTTCATGACACGCGATGAAAATTAGTTATATTAAAAGCCAATGTAAGAAGTATTAGTTTGTTCGAGGAAACAGAAGTCGCTTTGGATCAGTGTTCATTTTCATACTGAATACACAAATATTTCATGTTCGTTCAAAAGGTAGAAGTTTCATTGACGTCAAGAAATAACAGGCTGAAAAGAATAGCTGTAAGCAGCCTTAAGCAATTTTCTGACAAACAAAGCGTAATTAAAACTCCATCTTTCATTATCGGGTCGAAAGTAAGTAGAATGATATAAAGTAGAGTATTATCGATTACAGTGTAATGTAATATATTATTTATTTAGTAGATAATTGATTAATATTGAATTTTGATTGATTAAAAGTTAAATACTTCCAGAAGTGAAACTGATAACTAGAATAAAATTCTTCTGAATTTTAATTTAGAGAAGAGTAGTCTAAAATTGGGAAACGTACAAAAAGTTTTATCAGCTTAGTTCCCAAGAGGCTCGTTTATTTTTAAAAACTGATATTCAATCGTCTCTTAGTCTGATAGATATCTTGAGCAATGGAATATGTTTTCGATCGCGTTCTATTTTTTATTAAGACACAAACTTTCAAATTCATCGTTAGCGTGAAAATCAGTTTCTAGGCGAATAATGATAATAGCTTCTCTTTTACTGCAACAAATTCTTCATTTGTGAACGTAAAGAGTGGTAGCAGCACAGTAGATGATATACGTTTTATGATACATTTACTGGCCAGGCTCATCGTCAGTCGTTTTACAGTCGTAAACCATTCGCAATATATCACCTGTAGTTGATGAACGAATGGAAGGATTTGATTTTATGATTCTCTAGAAAACATCATCTCCGCGCGTTTTCTTTCAGCCAATTTCACCTGATATTTGTGTTCAATATTTACTGACAACTTCCGGTTTCCATTCCTCTCGATCGCAAGAATTTCATTTTGGTTCAAACTAACGTGAATTTAGACAGTATTACAGAAGTTTATTTAATTTAATTTTTATTTCTGACTTCAATTTTAAATTGTGTTTCGCGCTACGTTAAAACGGGACACTCTGTATACGTTTATGTATGCATGCACGTAATGTGTAAGAGCTCTATCTCACTCACTCTTGAAGCATTCTATTATTTTGCACACGCGAAGCTGGTCCTCGATTCGAGATAAAAATTCCTACCCTGATTTCAAATGAACTTACCGAAAGCAGGAATTACTTACTGTTCTTGAAGAATTTTCATCCTTCGTAGCATTCTCGTCCTTCGTAATTACAATAATTCACAAAAGACTTTATACATTTTGCAATAATATACAAAATGTGAAATTGAATTGGAAGCATATTAATAAACATAAAATACAGTGTTAGAATCAATTTGCATTTGATTGATACATTACAAGTTTCAATTGCAAATTGTTTTACATCCATTGTATTTAGGGTTTCAAGTCTTTCGTATGCGTGAACTATTTTTTACCAAATTTTGTCAATACTCGTGTTACGCTTGATACCATCGCTGATCATTATTCAACAGAATGGGGGAAGAATTCTCTGCGTCAGGATGATGTGTGGGATTCTCTTTCCCGCGACTGTATTCAGCATGCACAATATTAAGGACGAAACTTGCGTTACGGTAATTAAGATGAGCTCACAGGTATTCGTCGTAGTTGAGACCATTGTCGTCGCTGTTGGGAAAATCGACGTAGCAGACTACTCGTACTTCGCCGTTCGCGTAATTTTGCGTGAAGGTTGTATAGAAAAGCAACATCGGTAACGATAGTACAGCCCCAACGATCCAAATGATGATCGCCACGCACAGTGTCGTTCTTTTCCCCATACGAGGCCTCAACGGGTTTACAATGGCCATGTATCTGTAACGAAATACGAGGCAGAGATTAACATTTTTTAAATTCATCAAACTCACAATGCCCTTTAGACGTCGATTTAGAATAGTAATTTTTATTAATAACGGTAACAATACGTAAACAGCAGAAAATCGTTGTTAGTATTTATTGTTCGCTTCTGGTTGAACGTGTTAACGACCAATCACTTAAATCTCCATGTTTTCTCAGCCGAACGTTGACGATCGATTACCGGGAGATTTACGTCTTCCGATGTGAAGCGATTCTTTCAACTTTCTTTGCACAAACATATGCGCGGCAAAATAGTTCTCTTTGCGTATCTAATTACTTCATCGGTGTTTCTCTTTTAAACGAAAGTATATAACGGGAATTTAAATATTTTAACGCGTGAAAAGCCATGCAAGTTTCAGAGATTCTTATTGAGTTAAAGGAATTTATTTAAAACGAAAGAAAATTAAATTCTTTTTGAAAGAGTTGATAAATAAAGCGTAAGAATTTTATATATTTTATCGTTCATTAATAAATTATATTACTACATTACCCATGGTGTTTATTAAAACTCAAAAATAAATTTTTAAGAGAAATCGACAAGAGGTTGGTGCAGGAAAAAAAAATTTCAAGTCGCTCTGAAAAAATTATTTCCGGTTTCAAGGGTTGATTACAATTATTTTTGGTGAAGGAACATACTCTCGAAATCCTATGCGTTTTCGAGAAAAAAATTCAGGAAGGTGGACAAATTTTTCAAAAATTTCGAATCGTTCTAAAAAAATTATTTTTGGTTGCAGGGGTCAATTACAATCATTTTAGATGAATAGACATACCCCCGAAACCCTAACCATTTTCGGGAGAAAAAATTCCTAATCGAAAATGTAATGTTTGGCCAGAAATGTTTCTGTCCCGAGTATGCCGGATAATCGTAATTTTACGGTATTAGGAAACGTCGGGGTAAATGCGATCCAGTCATAAAAATCTGATAATGCTTAAATAAAATAGTAAACCAATTTCTTACGCGTGATCCATAAAAACAACCGGCAATAAACTAACGAAAGTCACCTATACGTAGAAAAAGGGTTGGATTTCCCGACGCTTTATCTTTCCCAAAGCCGGTAATACAACTTTCCGAAACCCTCTTTCGCCCTTCTGTTCCTTCCTTTTAAACAGATTTACACGTTTTTTCTACCTTAGAATCTTTTCCCATCGTTCGCGGATCCTGCATAAAGCGTCCTCGTTTCTTTTCTCGTGTACAAATATGCATTTATAATGGACGATTCTGTGATATTTGTTTGGGATTTTGAACGAAGACGCGTAAATGTTAGAGATGTATGTCCCCCAACCGCGGAGTAATATTGCGATGTAATTACGATAGTACACACGGTTTCATTAAAATTCTTTACGCGCCGTGGTTATTGGTGAGCGTTACTGCGATGAGATTTTACGCGAGGCAGACTTTACCGTAAATTTTCCGGGCGATGATCATCTCGCATCGCGATAATAAATCAGCTTCAAACGTGTCAGCTATTTTCTCTCGCGTGAAACCGAGGCAACGGTCCGAGGATTCACCGCGTCGCCCAGAAAGTTCCGATATCTATCGAGGGTGGATGAAGTTCGAGTAAATTTTTACAGGGATTACCGAGTATTAGCTCGGAAAAATGGTTTGCGGTTCGTTTCGAGGAAAATTAGTAGAACCTTTTAATGGAAAAGAAGTTCATCGATGTACGTACTGACGATCGAACATCTGTTTGCCAGACGAAAAATGTGAATTGGCTCAAGGTTGGCGCGAAAAGGGATGGCCGGGCAATAAAACAACGAAGGTAGATGCGAAATCTATTTCCTAACATCCAGGTGGCCACTCCATTTTCCTGGTGAACAGATTTCAGGTACACCTCAATCGTCTTGCGCGATTTTCAGGTTTTATTCGACGTCAAGTTTCACGTAACAGCAAAATTTATTTTAACAAATGCTCAAAATGGTACTCGTTAACGTCGATGCGTTTCTATACGCAAGAAATAGATTCTCTGGTTCTTTTTACAATCTGTTGACCGATATTATTCTTTATTGGTTCCTTCAAGTTTTCTGGCGTTGCAGGAATATCGTTATGAACGACTGCCTTTATAGTTTCTCGTGGACAAAAGTCCAGTGGCGTAAAATCAGGTGTGCGAGGCAGGCTATCGAGTATTTCTACCACGTCCGATTCAACGTCGCGGAAATTTTTGATTTAAGCTTTCACGAAGTGTAAGTGCACTGTGGGCTGGGCATCCGTCATGCTGTCGCTACATACGACTTTTACGAGTTGGAAGAATTTCTTCTAATAGTCCTGGTAACTGAGCAGTCAAAAAATTTGCATATATTTGCTGCAATGAAAAATGGTCCAATAATGCACTCTGTAAGAATACCATTCGGAACCATTTTGAATTTTCGGTGGATCAATCTTGCATATTTTATATATCTATTTTATATGTCGTTAACAAAATAAAACGCTAGAGGCAAACGAAAGAAATAGCTGATTCCGTACAAAAAATTTGTTGAAAAAGGCATAGTCTATACTACCGGAGAAAAACAGATAATTAGGTGTTCTGTTTTACGCGGAACACACCTCGCGCGTAAAGCTTGGAAACCACAATTAAATATTCGAACGCGAAAGTGGATAATACGTTTATGGGCGTTGTCGGAAGTTGCTATGCAACAATTCTTAAAAAGCTTTTAGAATCTAGGTCGCAGCAGAAGGTTTACGATTGTAGGTTTATGTCAGTTGAATGTCGGATTTATCGTAAGCAGAATCGTAGTTGAGATTCACACGGGTTAAGCGTATGCTCGTCTCAGTAATAAAAGTAAAATTTCGTTAAGCAAATATTGTCCGTTTTTTTTGTAATGGTTTTAGCGTAATTAGTATCTTCTTTAGAGACGACTACTCGCGGCAGTGCGATAATGAACACGCGTAACATCTAAATCAATACAATTCAATCAGATTAAACAGCATCGAGCATTTGATAAACAATAATAATGGGGTTTCAGTTTACTATGCGGACGCGGGACATATGTACATCGTATGGCGCGTGATTTATCTTCGGCTATCTACACTGCAATTCCACGCTTTGCTGTTCACTACGCGGAATATGGAACTTTAACGTCATTATAGCATTATGCGCCATCGATTGGGTTGTATGTCACATTTGTCGGCGTAAGTTAATGTTTGCTGAATCAATTTGAAACGCACAGATTATAAGATATCTCGAATCGCGGAACCTAAGGATCCTCGTTGTTTTTTATCTCGAGATAACAATTTCCAGTTCATAGATTTTATCGATAGTCTCCCATAGTTTGGATACTCGAAGCTTTGCATAAATCAGAATATAATTGTAGCGATATTTTTTAATGTACATAGTTCAAAGACGGTAGCACGATACTATAATAACCCTGTCGGATGCAGAACCGGCATACACTCTTTAAGATAAATGATTCAATTCTATTCTCTCTGTCGGAAACACGGCTTCATCAAGCTCCGAGCAAGTAAAATTAATTAAGCCTCTACATTACCCGCGAGACTAATAATTCCGCGCGATCGCTCGTTGTTCGGCCGTGCGTTTATAAACAACACATATTTTAACGGGACGCGCAAACTGACATGCCATAATTATTTCTTTCTGTCCTATATTACAAGTTTATTCGCCGTTTCAGCGACTCGAACGATCGGATCTGATACCGCGCGTTTAGGAATTCATCGGAACTTACGCGACCGACAGCTTCTCACAACTTATTGCATCACATAAGCGATATCTTGACCTGAAATTTCTGCAAACTTTCTGATGTCTTCTGGACGCAAGATCGTGAGGGACCACACACACGTCGTTACTTACGAACTCTGTGCATCCCGTGTCCTAGAAACAAGGTATCCGATCAATTCAGACCAGCTGAATGTCTCTTAAAGCGGCGCCCTTGATACTCGATGCACTCCGTCCTTTGCTCCACTTTCATCCTGGATCCATGTTAATTTAAGTATCGTTGTTTCACGGGTAAGAAATAAAATAAAACGGTTTCTATGTATGGCCACGAACGGTGTAAACCAATTTTCAAGGAAACATACGTCATTGGAAGAAGTTGTACATTGAAAATGTGAAAATCGATCTAACCGAAACAATTAGTTTGTTATATTGGAGAAATGGTATCCCAGTTTTGTTCGCTCAGTATATGGTAAAAACAATCAAATTTTTAAGTGGAAAATTTAATTTAAACAATTGAGTCAACAGACATATGCACGTGTACGTGTATAATTGTTAATGAATTGAAAATGATGAGAGTTTTTAATAACGTATGATAAAATATCCCACGGGTTAATACGATCATTATAAGTACGAGGTTCCATTAATACCGAGTCCTCTCATCGTATCCTGAGGCTCAATTGAACTTTGCAAGCGTTGATATCCAATTTCTGCAAACGTTCGTATCTACTATTTCGATATTCGGCTTTGGAGAACTTGTTGATAAACTTGTTGACTTCTCGAAGAACTTATTAACTTGTTTACTAAACTGGTGAAAAGTATGAAGTTTGCAAGAAAGAGAGAGATATCATCTATGTAAGTTTTTTGCTGTATTAAGTACACATTGTCAAGGTCTTTATGTACAATACCTTAAGATCGTTTAACAAAAAGCTCGAGGTAGCCTTAGAATCAATGACATAAACGTCGAATAAAAAATTACACGTCTCGGATGTCTTTTTTTTTATCATTAAATCGCCATCAAAGATTTTCGCGATACGTTCGCTTGTTATTAAGATATCGACTTGTAGTAGGTATCGTGACCTACCCTGTATAGGACCGGAATGCAAAAATAAATAATAAAGCCGAATGAAATGCCGTTTTACGAGACACATAGATTGTTTCAAGTAGGAATGGCGATTTACAGAGGCGAGCTATTGGTAATCGCCCCAGGAGTATGTGCACCTATCGGAAACATGATTGTTGACCAGTAAAAAAACCAATCAATGCTCAGGGTTCTTATTCAAGATTCAACGT